CCCTGCCTGTCTGGGCTTGGTCAGAAGTGTGTGCTTTCAAATGGGCTAGTTGACCTGTGCCTTCGTTTCCCAGTTGAAATATTTACTGTAATTAGAATTATAGAGGTATATGTCAAGTAACAAATGTTATTCATTTAATGACAATATAGGCCTGTGGAGAAATATTTCATTACCAGTGATGTGCCTGTAATACTGTAGAATTTACCACCTTTCATCCAATTATATAATGACTTTAATTAAAAACCACGATGAACCCTCCAACCCTCCCTCCCATGTAGTCTTGGTCATTAAAGCCCTCAGACTGGCCTGACTGTGAATGCTAGGGCAAGTGAGGGGATGTGATTTTTAGTTCTTAGAGTTTCCTGTGGAGCACTCAGACTGCTTTAGCTCAGGCTGCGTGACAACCTGTGTGAACCCAACCCTGACCTACTCTGACCAGGGCTTTTGTTTGCTTGCTGCCAGCACTGGCTGTGGTATACCGGTTTCAGAATTCCCGTCTTTCAAAAAAATCTGAGGTCCAAGATAGACAAATAGTTTAACAAAAATAAGCTCTGACTCCCTCAATTCTGCGTTCCCATGAAAAAATGACTGATTGTAAGGACCATCATGCCATATGATGCCAAAAGTAGTACAGTCCAAAGATTAAGAGCTAGAGGTCCTATCTTGCTTTAAACCTAGCACATAGGTGGAAAAACGAAAAAAATTTTTGGGCTTAGAGTTGTTGAAGGCACTTTGAATCTGAAAGCTCCCTGTGTTTTCCAGTGCATCACCTGGTTTAATGAGGGAAACAGGCTCTCCTTCTAAGACATATTACAAAGAATATGTGTCCTTAAGGTATTGAAGCAGTTCTCAGCACCCGTTTAACACCAGATTGTCCTATGTCATTGCTAGGGTGAGGGAGCAGAGCTGCAGGAGGGGCTGGAGGAGGCAGCCCCACTCTGCTTGAGCCTGTTTACTTTGCACACTTGAGAGGGCTGTGGGTATGGGCAGCCTCCTTATTTCACTGTTGCTCATGTGGATGTTTCATGTAACAACAGGGGACAGAAAAACATTTCTTTAAACAAAGGAAAATAAGATTGCAAACCATAAAGAAAACAGCAGGGAGAGTTGGGGACAGATGTGCTAACAAATCAGCAACAGCTGTGAAAATTACTTCTCATGCATTTTTTGAACCTGATTAAATAAATAATAATCAAGATTATAGTTAATTTCCTTTTCAAATACTGCAGATATCAATGTCTATGTCTGATACCCATCAAGCCTCAGTAGTGTGGCACAATTATCTCTGCAGCTACCTCAGGATACTTAGGTGGGTCTTTCTTCAGCGCATGGGGAGATGGAGTCATCAGAGTCAAGGGTGCCCAGCAGTTTCCCTTTACCAGCACTTGTTGCCCCAAAGATGCCAGGCACCATAACGTGTACAGGTAGATGGGGCTGGCAGGAACCATCCACATGCTCATAGGCAATTTTTTCTGCAAAGGAGCCAGCTGTATTAACATGGGGTCTCTTGTCACTGACAGTTCTTTCTGTCTATCCCTAACTAGAAAAGCACCTCTTAATTTTCATCAAGAAAGACTTCTTTCAGCAGAGCAAATGTCAGTGTACAATTTTCACATATGGTTACCTTAGGACTGCACAGTCCTTTCTGTCTTGTCTTCAACTTGGCTGTGTTTGATTTCACTATTTGTAAAGAAAACTTTGTATATGCTAGGATTGCTTGAGATCATGCCAGAGTTCACAGAAAAAAAATAAAAATTTCTTTGTTTTGTGAAAAGAACAGGATTAAATTCTTGATTAGAATGTTGGAAACAGTGAATGAAAGAAAACGTAACCTTGTGATATCCATCACATCCATGCCTCTTTGTAGCTGGAACTAGCCTTCTGTATGATGTATCTCTGCCACAGACACAATGCAGTCAGAGTAGCTCCTCTTACATTCAAAGAATGGCCAAGTGTGCTCTTGACCACCTTTCTCCCTAATGCTACTAAATAAAGCTCTTCTGTGTTAATTTGTGGGATCATATTACAAGCTGCAATACTCACCCTCAGTGCCTATGGAACAACCAGAAGCTCACCAGGGAATGTTTTCTCAGCTCAGAACCTGTTTACCCTTTCTCTGGGGAAATCAGGTCAACTGCAATTAGAACTACGATGTTTGGTAGATATGCTTTCTCATATGGTGCTTTTTGGCTACCTATCATCCCAATACCTATTGCAGTAATACCTGCCACCGTTTACAGGAGAAATTTCCAGATGTGGCACATCTAAGGATTTAGGTCACATTTCCTGCACAGAGAAGGAAGAAACAATTTTCTGTATCTATAAATGTGTTTCCAGGGTCTTCTATAGTTAGAAGGTTGTTTCCAGAGCAGATGTTTTTGGCAAAGCCTAGAGCTGGTAGGGGTGGCATTGCCATTAGAAAGGGCTCAGTGATCCTTGCATTCCAGGTACAACCTCCTACATTTTGCCACATCAACAGGTCCTGTTTTCCGAATGCTATAATGCTCTTTAGTTAGCAAAACCTACCAGCCATTGCTCAGAGCCCTTGTCTGAGGTAAAGAGCAAAAAAGGGCTGATCTGGTTGTGTGAACTGGAGGTGCTGGCCCAGAGCTTGGTACTTCAGGTTCCCCAAACACGGGGATCACTGGGGAACTGCTGGGCGAAATCCAGCATGTTCTGCTGCCTGCCTCTGCCACAGCTGCTGTCCCCCACACTTGAGGTGGTGGTCAGCCTCTGGGACCTGGGCTTGGGCAAGGCAAGTCAGGGCTGTGCTGCTGTCCCTGTAGCTGCTTACACTGCAATGCATAGAGCCTAGGTTGACAAAAAAACTTTACAGGGTGAAATAAGGTTGTACTGAACATGCTGGAGATGTTTTACGAAAATTCTAAGCACACTTTTTTTCCTGTATTTTGGCCTTATTTTTTGGAATGTGAGATAATGTTAAATGTTCCATTAAAATGTTTCCTGTTTTATACAAACAGGAAATACCGTTCTCACCTATAAGCTAAGAAAAATAATGAGAATATGCCTGTTTCGTGGTAATTGCTGCTCTCTGACTCACACTACCTCCCTCCTGATACAAGAGCCTTATGTCTGTGTTTGCTTCTTGCTCAAATACTATCTTCTGAAGTTGAAGGAGATTTTTTTGGAGCTCTGAGTTTAGTTTTCTCTCTGTACTCATTGTCATTGTCACCAAGACAGTTAGTTTGTACAGCAAAGCAGAGTATATTTTGCAATTTTGTTTTGGCTGGCTGCTCTACACCAGTACACTAGAAGTCAAATGAGTCCTGGTGATGATAAGCGAACTGCATTCAAAGCACCTGACCTTACACACACATCTATACACAGGTCCAAATCCACACTTTAAAAGGGTTAGGAAGATTTTTGCAACGATCATCTCAGTATTATCAGACTCTAACTATGTTTTGCCCTCAGAAATACCCATTAAAAATAATTTTTTATTTCACAGTTCTTTAATGTTTAAGACCAAGTCGGGCAATGTCAACTCCTGTATCTCAAACAACTTGCCTGAGTTCTCATCCAGATCCTGCAAATTTAAGATGCTGCATGATTTCAACTGGAAAAAATAATTTACATTTTTCAAAATAGAAAACTTTAAGAAAGCAGTGTTTGTTTAGGCTGGCAAAGGGGAAGCTAAAGGGAGGCATGAGAGCAAGCTCATGGAAGGATAGTTACTGGAAGGATATTTATGATGATGACAGGGCAGACTCTTCTCAGTAGGGCCAGACAGCCCAGACATGGAGTGGGAGCCACTAGAGTATGGAAGGTTCACACTGGACATGAGAATGTCCAATGGACATGAAACAGTGCAACTCAGGAACAGATTGCTTAGGGAGCAGAGGCTGCAGAGTCACTGCCCTTGAAGGTTTCTGAGACTTTGTAAGGCAAAGTCATGTCTGAGATGACCTGATATTTGTGTCAACCCCTCTTTGTGGAGGATGCTGGATCAGCTGCTCTCCACGTGTCTCTTCCAACCAGTGTTTTGTTGAGTCTGTGACACTGCTTAGTGTAACAGACAGGAACACAAGGATACCTCATTGCAGTCTACAACTTCTTCGTGAGGGGATCTGATCTCTTCTCTGTGGTGGCCAGCAACAGGACCTGAAGGAATGGTTTGAAGGTGTGTCAAGGGAGGTTTAGGTTGGATATTAGGAAAAGGTTCTTCACCCAGAGTGGGGTTGTGCACTAAAACAGGCTCTTCAGATAAGTGGTCACAGCACTAAGCATGACAGAGTTCAAGAAGCTTTTGGACAATATTCTCATGCCCATGGTGTGACTCTTGGGGATAGTCTTGTGCAGGGCCAGGAGCTGGACTTGATGATCACTGTGGGTCTCTTCCAACTCAGTGTATTCTGTGATTCTATGATTCTGGGATATTAAAGATGTTCTCAAAAATACTGATGGCAGAAATGCAATTAGGTGAGACATAGCCAGACACTAGGCAAACAACACTCCATGTGTCAGATGCAAGTTAAAAAGAGGACTTAGTGGGGAATTCAATAGTCTATTGATTTCTTGAAGAGATTTGCTGGAGAAAGTGGAGAAGGTTTTGTCTTTAGAAACCTTTCTGTCTTCACACATACTCTGAAAACACATAATTACCCACAAAAGAGCTGCAGAGTGTTCTTTTACAATATTATTATTCCCAGTTTCGAAAACAAAACTGGTGATAGTAAATGTATTAAATTCTGTGTAGCAGAATAACTGGTATGTTCTTAAAAAGCTGCAACATCCTGTGTTTCCTTGTCAAAACCAGAATTTTTTCTTTTTTCCAAGTTTATTCCAGTCTCTTTGGCAATAATGAGCTTCAAGCAAGGGTAAGCATGAAAAGTTGCATTTGCAATTTGCTACAGTGAACTGGGGAAGAGCTAGGAGAGAATATTAAATAAAACTAATTTGATTAATTTTATTAAATATAATTCTTTATAAGAAACAAAACTTTCAGAATCATGACTATAATTTACAATATATTAACTGCTTTACTACTGTGCTTTTTGAGTTTGTGTGCTTATAACATTAAGTACGACTATGGACGGCACAGGATATTTCCTTTGTGACGTTACCATATCTCCCTATTGTAATGATTCCTGACACTGCAGAGTGTATTTATTGCTGCCCAACATTTTTAAGTAAAAAGGAAAACTAGGCGTTCATAACACCTAACAAAAGGCACTTTGCTGCAGTGATTAAGGATGGGAGAAAATGTGCCTCAGTGTCTGTATAATCTCAATAGAGAGAGAAAAGAACATTTCTGAAAATTATTCCAACCACCTAGAAGGGGTTTAAGGTCACCAACCAGTTTGTGTAATACACTTCAGTCTGCTGCTTAAAGGCTTATGGTATGAATCTAGGCTTTGGGAAGGGTATAAGGTATAACGGTATTATTTACACTATTTCAAAGAAGTACATATCATGAAAATTTGTTTGCCTTCTTTATGTCTGAACAATGCCAGGAACAGACAAAAACATCCTCTAGATTTTTACCCCATGCCTTCTGTTGTTCTAAACCCTCACATAAAAAAAATTACTTTAGTGGTACCATTTCCCCCGCCATTATTTTCTGAACATATTTGGGAATGTCTTGCACTGTCAGGACAATTATTCCTGGCTTCAAGCTTTGTCTGAGCAAAGGCAGGAGCTATCTGGAGACTTTCGCTGCAAGCTTGTATCTGTTGTTTGCTCTAGAAATGCCCACGTGCTAGAAAGAACATATTGTCCATGCTCTACATGGAATAAGGCTGAGCAAACAAAGCTGTGGGGCAAAGGAATGATGAATTCACTGGGTAGTGACTAGCCACAGCTGGATAACATGGAATATAATACCATGATTTTATATGATTTTAAACGTAATAGCTCACTGAAGAATATTGAGCTATTATATCTCTTTAGCCTATACTGATATATATGAGAAGTCTTAACACCCCTGATTATATGGAACTATGTATTGCAACGTCTCCAGTCTTTTTTCACTGTAGTTTTTGCTAAGGTAGACATCGACCCTTTCACGTGACTAACAGAGTGCCTGGCGTTTCTCACAGCTACTGTCATGTTCTGTCCATATGTGAGTGAATGATTCAGACTCTCAAATCTACCACTGCTTTGACACCTCTGACTTGGGTAGTGAGTGATGCTGAGACTAAGGGGCTCTGGGAGCATCCAGAGCTGCATGAGGTATGTCTTTGGAACCTCTGTTTCTTTTAAGATCTGGAAAACCTGCAGGTCCCGAAAGAATAAGAGTTAAAGAGTTAAACTAAGTTTGATATTTTGATTCCCATCCTCATTTCAGGAGGCTAATTTTTGCATCAGCTGCAATGACCCCTTGCATTCTGAGAAATCCATCAGAAGCAGACCAGCTCAGATCCAACCTGCCTAAACATTTAATTTAAGTGATTTCCATCTCTGCAGCCACTTCTCATGAAGGTCCTTCAACTGTAAACAAGGAAAGATTTCCAGCAGGATTTCCAGCAGGATTAGGCTGGACTAGCCTGCTTATGGATCCCCTTTCCCTGAGGCACAATGCCTGTCCCATTGCATGACCGGACATGTGTCCACTACAGCATATATCTGCAGTTATCTACCATGAGATAAACACGCTTCCAGTCACACAGGCTGGGGAGAGCTCACAGCAAGGTAATTTAATAGGGGACACATGGGACACATACATACATTTTTGTTAATTTTTAGTAAGCCAGATGAGCGTATATTTGTTTAGTAGTGTACAGTTCTCAAATGCCTCCATATGTGCCAGCATGATGTGCTGGGATAGAAGGCCTGCCATCACTGTTCCTCACCCCAGGTTCACAGAGTGAAGGCCTTGAAGAGTTCTCATGAAACCATCTGGATTGCATTATCTGGAGTGCAGTCAGTGGGTCAAAGGTGTAGAAAAGATTATTCCCCTCCATAGGGCACTTTTGAGTTTTGTTCCCCCAGAAAGGAGTACAGCAAGATGGTGGTGGAGTGCAAGGCATACAAGGAGAGGTTGAGGGAGCTCGGCTTGGTCAGTCTACAGAAAACAAGGAAAAGTAGAGATATGTTTGCTGCCTACAGAAACCTAATGGGAATATGAGAAGAGAGAGACAGGTTCTTCTTGGAGGCAGAGAGGCACAAGTTTTTATAAAACGCTCAAGGAAAACCACTGATAACTTCGTTTTAACAGTAATTTTTAGGGCCCCATGGCTACATTTCTGTTTATAAAAATAACAAGATGTTCATATAAAGTCAATGTGATTAAAATCAGCCTGAGAAAATAATGAGATTCCCCTTCATTATCAGACTTTACGGGAGAGCAGTACTGCTATTTGTGCTGTCTGAGCAATGTATAATACTTTGCACCACTTAACAATGTATTTTAGAACCTAAGAGCAGAGTCAGCTCTTTAGAAGGAATCACGATGAGGTACCATTCTTAAAAACGTTTATTTTCACACAAGAGTAAAAGCAGGCTTTCAGGAGACATATGGGTGTTGATATCTTACACCAATTTCCCATTTATTAAAATCAATGAAATAAAGGTGAAATATATACATTTCTGGCTCAGTAGAGTCTGAGTCCATTACACTCTTCCAGCAGTGAGGGGCAGATCCAATACACCCATACAGCCTGCTCTACCCAGGTGCCCTGCAGTGAGTCCAGGGTAGAAAAATTAGTTTCTGGTTCTGCTGCAGACTTTTCCTCCTTGTTGAACACACCTCTAAGACAACATTCAGGGACAGCTTAGGCGCTAGAGTGGCAATAAGTGCTCAGACACCAGTGTGTAAGGCACTGACACTTTCCCAGGGGCGAAAAAGTCCTGTCTGGTTTGGTCACCACCTGAGCCAAGCAGCTCCAGACATGTGCAACTCAGGCTCTATAAAGTCAAAGTTTCTTCACTGTACAAATCTGCCCCTCCTGTTCAAAATACACCAAGCATACAGCTACTGCTATGAAATGTGACAGCCTAACAAAGCTTCAGTTCTCTTCTGTTGCACTCCTAAGGGTTCTGTGGGCTGGACTGACTTTGAGCATGGGCAGTGCCAGCTCATGTCTACCCAAAACATACCTTGTAGACAAACTCAAGACAGTTCAGAATAAGATCTTGCAATGTCCTTAGTGAATCTCTGCTCCCCCAGCCTTTAACCTGCAAAATTGGGAATGCAGTACATCCCTATTTCACTTGGACATCACAGGGATAAGTACATTCAAGGCTAAGTAGCAATGTCCCTCAAGGAAAGTTGGCTGCAATTTATCATCTGTTTAAGGATTGAATAATATAGAAAACCACATAAAACAAAAGACAAAATGCAAAGAGGGTTAACATTATTGAAAACATACTCTATGTAACACATTCTTGTTCCTACTTTTTCTTTGTTGAAAAGCTTTATCTCTATCGGTTTCACATAATTCTCTTGATAGTGTTCCTCACCCCGTGGGAGTAACTTTCTGAATGCTTTAGAGTTTCTAAAAAATTTTTGAAATCACCAGATGACTTATAACAATGATTCATGTTATTGTTATTACTCATTATTATCATTTGTCATATGAGACAATGCCTGGTGTTGCATTTTTACTCTTTTGAAAGAGAAATCTGGCTCAGCTCTGAAGGCTCCAAATTCTGTTTATTATACTAGCTGAAACATGTTTATTACACTGGCATGTTTTTATATCCCTCCTGCTACCATGTGCAAAACATACTTTTGCACTGACCAAACTGAAAATTCTGCAAGGCTTTGCTCTTTCTGATCAAGCCATTGATCCAACAAGTTTAGCAGCTTCATGTGGTTGTAGCCTGTATCTGACCCAGCAGTTTGTCCTTCACCTCTCAGTACTGCACTTAATCCTGAGAGGCCTTCCATGGAAAAGATGCCTTCCTGAATTCCAGTCCTAACTTATGAGATTTCCTGAGTTTCAAGCTCTATTCCTTTCTGAAAAATGTGAGTTAGAAACAGTTATGTACTGCCTACCTGTATGGTTGCTAGTGCAATGGTGTTTGATTGAGAGGACAAGCCACACAAGATATAGATGTAATGTATATATCTGTAATAGCTAAAAATAACAGCAACAGTAATGACAAACCTATTCTCATATTGCAGCTGCAATGAGTTTCAGCATAACCTTGTCCAAGAGGCTTTCGAGGCATTTTGCCCATTTGGCCTTTTGGACCCTTGAGCTGCACTGAGTCCACAGCTTGATGGTAGGAAGTCAAGTGACTTTCTGAACACAAATAGCGTTCAGAGAAAGTCATCTTATGGGAACTCAGTCACTGTCACTACCTCCTCGATTGTGTACCATATCTGAAAGACTAACAAGCTTTACCTCTTGACATCTGGAAATGTGATTGTTCCCTGCTGAATTATGCAATTGGATCTAATGAATTACATTGCCTTTCCCTACAAATCTTATGCTATCAGGTTATCTGTGATTCACTGACTAATGGGATATTGCTAAAAATATACTGAAGGTTTATGGTGGCACGAGAACTTCCCAAACAGCTTGCTTGATGTTGTACTGATGTCAATATTTATTGTCTCTGTCACAGGCTCAGAAAGATTACACAGAGATGGCCAGGACACTGCACTTGCTGTTTTTATAGGGTTACATACAGCACTTTCCCTCTGGTTTTGAGTTTAAGAGATGATACATCAGAACTGGTGTCAATGAGATTAATTTTCATTCAGCCCAAACACTGTTGGGGAAGGAAGGGAACAAGTGGCTGATGTGTCTGGGTTCCCGCTTCTAGCTCCAGAGACCCTGGCTGGGTTTGAGCCCTGTAGGAGCAATGCTAACTCTGTAGTCCCACAACTCCCTTAAGTCAACATAAGCAAATGCTGATGCTAAAAGAGGCAGTGCCAACTTCACACTGACCCAATCACTGTTTTCACTCTCCTTGCTTCCCCAGTGACTGCAAATAGTCATAAATACATATGGGAGGGAAAAAAAAAGAATTTAGTTTTAACCCAGAGTGTCGTCCTGTGACTGCACTAACATCTGGCAGAAGGGAGAGAGATGTAAATGACAATAATCAGGCAGAAGACTGGAAGATAAGACAGGACTGCTTATTACAGTTTAAACAAATTCTGGAAGTAGCGAGTAACCTGCAGCACTTGTACAATGTTCCTGCAGGACTAAAAAGGAGTGGAGGGAGGGTGTGCAAAGGCAGGAGGCAGACTTCCCTGGTCCTTTGTATCCAGATTAGGCAGATTGGATGAAACCAACTTTTTGACTCTGAGAAAATGCTATCAGAAATGTTTAAGCTAGTCTAAACATAGTTAAAGCACCCTTTACTTACAAAGTGCTTCACATCACCTATGATGACATCCAAAATCAAGTACTGGCAATTTCTAATGAAACATAGCCTAGTCAGGATGCTCTTTTAAATCAAAATCATTGTCTCATCTTTTTTTTTTTTTTTTGAGAAGAAAATCACTTGCCTCATAAAAAGTTTTTATGTTTCAGAAAATTATATTGAGATCATACAATGTTGCTTAATTGATATTATATAATGTTTCTTAATAATGACTCTTATAACAGCATTACTTAAAACAATTAAATCAATTAATTCAATAAAATTCTTCAGCTGAACAGCAATATTTTGGCACTGTAGCTGATTGAGTTTACTGCTTTTGCAATTAATGAAAGATTGGTTCCTTTAGCAATTACACTCTGATTAGTCCGCAGCGAGAACATTTTCCCTTTCTCATCCCCCACTGCTATCAAAGGGCCTTTATTCCTGGATTTTTTTTCTCTCTTTAATCCTAAATTAACAGAGTTTAACAGAGTCCCGCCTCAGTAGAACTCTTGGAGAAAATTTGATTTCGCATTTTACTTTTGCTAAAACTTCATCAAAATAAGCAAATCCAAGAAGTAACTTTACTGGACACTAAGGCATCATGCCAGCCACAAGCACCTAATATTTGTTTAATGTAAAAAAATTTCAGCTGTTGCTGTTTGGGAACGGGTAAGAGTTAGTATCTTAACCTGGGATAGAAAAGTAACTGTTTATCAAAAAATAACATAAAGAACCTTTTCCTATCGCAAGTAATCAAGCTTCTGTCAAGGTAAGATAAATGTCAATCAAGTTTTAAACTGAAACACATCTGGTAAAAATTAGAGAAAAGTGAAGCCAGATACTTCACTCCACTTTGAGAACTAACTCAAAAGTGAGTATAGAGGCTTGGCAGTAGATGAGACCTTCTTGTAATTCTGTACAGTTGAGGAAGCGCTTAGAAAAGAAGTCCAAATTGGAGAGTTTTGTCTTTCTGAAGCTGAAAACAAAAAAAAGTTTTTACCATGCTGGTTAAAGTAGTACTTAATGAGAAAAAATCCGTTACACTTGCCTCATAAAAAGTTTTTATGTTTCAGAAAATTATATTGAGATCATACAATGTTGCTTAATTGATATTATATAATGTTTCTTAATAATGACTCTTATAACAGCATTACTTAAAACAATTAAATCAATTAATTCAATAAAATTCTTCAGCTGAACAGCAATATTTTGGCACTGTAGCTGATTGAGTTTACTGCTTTTGCAATTAATGAAAGATTGGTTCCTTTAGCAATTACACTCTGATTAGTCTGCAGCGAGAACATTTTCCCTTTCTCATCCCCCACTGCTATCAAAGGGCCTTTATTCCTGGATTTTTTTTCTCTCTTTAATCCTAGATTAACAGAGTTTATCAGAGTCCCGCCTCAGTAGAACTCTTGGAGAAAATTTGATTTCGCATTTTACTTTTGCTAAAACTTCATCAAAATAAGCAAATCCAAGAAGTAACTTTACTGGACACTAAGGCATCATGCCAGCCACAAGCACCTAATATTTGTTTAATGTAAAAAAATTTCAGCTGTGGCTGTTTGGGAACGGGTAAGAGTTAGTATCTTAACCTGGGATGGAAAAGTAACTGTTTATCAAAAAATAACATAAAGAACCTTTTCCTATCGCAAGTAATCAAGCTTCTGTCAAGGTAAGATAAATGTCAATCAAGTTTTAAACTGAAACACATCTGGTAAAAATTAGAGAAAAGTGAAGCCAGATACTTCACTCCGCTTTGAGAACTAACTCAGAAGTGAGTATAGAGGCTTGGCAGTAGATGAGACCTTCTTGTAATTCTGTACAGTTGAGGAAGCGCTTAGAAAAGAAGTCCAAATTGGAGAGTTTTGTCTTTCTGAAGCTGAAAACAAAAAAAAGTTTTTACCATGCTGGTTAAAGTAGTACTTAATGAGAAAAAATCCATTAGTATAGTAGCTTTTTTTTTTTTTCCAAGAAAAACCCTAAATTACTAAAACTGGTTCTTGACTTCCAATAAGCAATGAATATTTCTTCTAAGCAAATCTTTTTAGTGAAAGCTTTTTCCTGGTTCAGCAGACTGAATGAACATGGCAGGAAAGGCTGTCAACACGGGGCAATGAGCAGGCACCATTTCTGCAAAGACTCATCCTTCTTTACTTTGCTCTTACCTGTTCAAAGTAATCCGAAATTATGTATACAGGTACTGTTAAAACAGAGCTGTATTTATATATTGTTTTGTCACCATTAGTTTACACGTCTTTTTTTCCCCCTCAAATATTAAAAATTTTTTAACATGGTATAAATTTTGTTGCTTACTCTGTTTATTCTGTTAAGTGTAGTTTGAAGTAAAATCTGGAAATCATAGAGGAAATTAGTGCTCTACTTTTATCTGCTGCACATTCATATACCACTATTATTTATTATACTACTGTCTAAATTTGCACAAATATCGACTAGTAATTTCGTAAATCTGAAAACCACAATTCCCAGGTGACGACCATGACCCTAGAAAAAACCTAGAGAAAACAATCTCATTACGAGACATACCTTGCAATAGATGTTTGTTTAACTGGAAATCCACAAGAGCAGCTGCCCAGTGCAATGGTACATGTTTGCTTCTGAATCTTTTCTCAAAGAGACTATTTAAACATGTTGATGAACTGAGCTGGATTTTTCCCCACCTCCATTCCAGCAAAACAAGGAGACTCAGAAGATAAAGCTTGTTTTGTTATTGCAAGCAGTGCTATGTGGTAAGTGAGAAATTTACTTTCTATAGTCGTATTTAATTATGAAGGTGGGAAACATCCATTTCCTGTACAGATACAATGTCTGTGTGTACTGCTCAGTGATATTTTTATTTGAAAATGAATATACTTCTATTTCTAGAAGTGTTTGTGTATAGAGCTCCTTCTTGTCCATATTTGGTTGATGTTAAAGATCTGCTACTCTAGCTTCACCACTTCGGCAAGAGGAAACAAGTATTACTTGTATCAGGATTATGACTTCAATTCAAACTATACGGTGTGTTTCAGATCTGTTTCTGATTTATGCTAAACTGTAAACAGCTGAAAATTATAACAAGAGTTTTATGATACGTGCAGCTGGACTAGCTATCACTAAATTTCATGCAACATTCTGAACAGCAACAGTGATAACAGACATTTTTCAATTGCCTCCCTTCTGGGCCAAGTTTGATGCTTTGACCTAGAGGGGAAAGTTTGTATATCCTGAGTCAGTCACACTTTACACTTTCTTTCTGGACTCTGTTTTAGCTTTTCTTCTGCCACTGTCTGAATGGGAATCCCTTCAGCCTGTCAACATTTAACTTTAATTAGCTGAAGAAATTTCTGTAATGTTCCTTCTCTCTTGGAGCTGTTTCTGGAACCATTATAGCCCCAAACCCAAAGGAATCAGAAATGACCATGACAGCTGGTGTCACTCATTTCTTTCTCCACCCCTGGTCAATAATGTAAATTGTCAGAAAGGACTTGACTCAAAATGTCCCTTCTACTCCTGTGGGCAGTAGTTATGCATGTGACAAACTTCACTCTCTCATGGAGGAAGATGTGATCTAATGATACACTTAGTGTCACAAAAGTAAATGTTCTCAGAATAGGAATGATGCTTTCCACAGTAAAGTAGAAACAAAAAAAGTACAAGGCATGCTTTTAAGATGTATGAAGTCCTGTGGCACCTATTTCAAACAAAACTAAAAATGTCCATCAGCTACTTATTCTTTTATTTACTTTGTGTTTTCACTTGCTTTGGAGTTTGTAGGTAATAAACCATAAAGTAGAAACATGGGCTGAATCCTGAGATATTTATTCAGACTAAGGTCTTATTACTGGCAAAGGAAGATCTGTCTGAGTAGCCTTGTCATCCCCTAATTTTTCAACATAAAAAGCAAAAATACTAAAAAATCATATTCATTCAGCATCCAGTAATTTTGCTTCTATCAGTTTCAATAATCAGAACATTTACCACTAATCTGATTTAAAAGCAGAATGTAAACCCATGCCTCCTAACAAGACCTGTGATGAGCTTAAATTTCAACTTTTGGTTTCATGGTGGAATTTTCTGATTCCTGTTAACTTATCCTGTCTTTTCTCGTCCTCTGCAATGACTTTAACATTAATGTCTCAAAAATTACTTTTAAATGTCCAGATCTAACTGCCAGATAGATTAGAGAGAAAAAGGAAAGCTTATTAAGAATCACAGGTGCTTTGTAAATTAAGGTAATTTCTAGATAGCTAGAAAAACAAGAAGATGTTATGCTTTCTTTTCTTTTTTTCCCCCCTGATGTTTTGCAATTTTCTATTTATTTTGAATAAAAATTTGCCTTGAAGCAAAATAATGGTTTGGTTGTGTATAGAGAAACTGTCCATGCTGGTTATGAAATCTGAATCATCAAATGAATTACCAAGACCAGATTGTAATCTTGATTTCTACTACTTTCAAGACTCATCAGTGTTAGTGGTATATGACAGGTTTTTCAAGTGCTAATATTGAATTGTGATGAGAAGGAAAGTGTGATAACAATTTCCTCCCTATTTCAAAATGATTTTAAGAATATCAGTTAGTTTTTGTAGAATTTTTTGATTGGTTAATATGATGCATGAACTTTCATCTTTTAATTGGACATCTGACCTTAAAGCAATGTTTTTAAACATTCTTTATATTTTTCTCAAAAACATAATTCTTAAATTTTTTTATTACTTCCTTCAAACTCTGTACTCTTTAATGTGATAGTCTGATATTTTATACAACGTTGTGCTTTCCACGATTTGAGATTGAAATTCAAAATATTGACAAGATGATGAATTTTTCCCTTTTCTGAACTTTACACACTTGGATAATGATGAAAATTTTCATACTGTGGTTCTGCATTTTTGTTTTCTGAGGAGGAGCAGACTAAAATCATGTAAAATTATGCAACAAGGGTGTCTCTTGCATGTCTAGAATCTATGGTTCACTGATGGTCCATAAGATTTTGGTAAAGACGTAACCCACAAGATCACATTTCTAGCTTTTCCTGATAAATTTTCTGTTATAAGAATAGAGAAGGTAACATCATGAAGTCTTAGCCACCAATGAGTTTCACTAAGAAATACTGGAGTTACCACAAAACAAAATTGATAAGTATATAAAAATAACTTTAAAACAAGCTATCATGTCTCAGAAAAGTGATACATACAAAAAATGGTATCACGCTGGTAAAAATTTTTAAGCATACACCAAGACTTTTTCAATCTCTTCTAGGTATTTTATTCTATACCTTTGCCACCTCAAGGGAATAATTTGAATGCATTCTAGTGGTAATGCCAATAAGGAAACTAGAGATGTGTCAACTATTTCAACATGTAGACACTGATCTGCTAAGGGATGATGAGAGGTTGCTCTTAGCACATTGCTCTGGTGTATCACATTGTTTTCTGTTGGTTTTTTTTTCAAGCTCAGATGCTGTTTTCTGGGTTTCATTTATTTGAAAAAGTCATTTGTGTCTTATCATGCATGAGATGGACAGAGCTGCCATGCTTTACCCTGATGATACTACATGGGTATTCAGCCTTGGGGTCTGAAAAATGTTCCAATGATGATCCTTAAATGTAGAACTTAGTCCTTTCCCTCCAGTTGTCCTTGCTCCAGTTCTTTTATGCACAAGTGAAGGAAAGAGATAAAAAGAGAAAGAAGGAGTATGCTGACTTACTGTCTTAGGAGGATTTTTTTGCACATTGATTAGTACAAATGAAGATAACTGATATGGAAAATATGAATACAGGATACTAATAGAAGAAAAAAGATTAGCTACTAGTCTTCATAGTGGTAATTCTTTTGAAAAGTGGGTAGACTAGTACTTTAGTCATGTTCTACTCACAGGAAAGTGCCAGAAGATAAGTAAAATTCAATATGTTCTACTATTCCTTTGTTTATATTACTGGATGGTATTTTCTAAAATTTTTAGTGTTGCAGCTTTTGATCCTTATACTGCAATGTCAGATATTGGCTTGTATTTGAAATGTAGGTTGTAAAGCAGAAGATTGAAAGAGCATTTCACATCTTCAAGTGCTGTAATCCTTGGTTTTGTAGAGTTTGATGTCTACACTATGCAGGAACTGAGCAACCAGTTGGGCAGCAACATCCAAATACTGTAGCACTTAAAACTTGGAGACATCCTCAAAACACCATCAAAATTGTTTCAAGGATCTCTATGACTCCATTCTACATGAAGGGCCTTAGTTTAAAGGCCTTTTTGTGAAAAAACCAGCTTCCGTGGTTTATGTCAGGGCAATATCTGAAACATATCACATCTCTCTGACTATTGGAGTAAATTCTCAAAAAACAGCCTCCCTTTCTCATTACCAGCTAATGAAGTACATCTGTGATCTGTTTGAATTTCTCCATCCAACCGTGTTCTTCCTGACTTACGAGAAAGATAGCCACACTTTTCAGACAATTTGGTAATAACCGTCCACTCTTACTGGATGACATGAAGCACAGAAGAAAGTGTTCCACTTAAAATTGTAGTCTTCACAAGGTCAACATGTAAGCACACATGCAAGTTCCAGGAAGCCCTAGTGTAATAATCAGACCTTGCAGGCAAGTTGGATAAACGTAATTATTTTTTTCTGTGGTATGTTCTGACTTTTCTACCCAGGTCCTTAAAACTTTGAGTAAATATATATATATTTAGAAATACTTTTGTAGCAGTTTTCCTTCAAAAATATTACTAACTGCAAGGGATTTTGTCAAATATAGATGTTACCTACAAAAGTTTGTTAAAAAAAGCCAATGAAAGCAAAATATTTAATCAGGTAAATCTACAAATTTATACAAATATACAATGCAAGAACTATCCCGATATACACAGGAGAGAGCATAGGGAAAAATATTCTTGGAAAGTTACTCACTCTTTTTCGAAAGAAATGATAAGAAAACTAAATAGGTGTCAAAAAGATAAAAGTATTCCATTACTTTCAGCCAAACCCTTCTCTCCTGTGTGTTATCCTGGAGAGTGACTCAAATAATTCATCAAAAAGAATGCACTGGAGTCTTCAAGTTACCTTTCTGATGCCATTTAGTTAAATTGAATAATTAAATACCAGTACTAAGGACCTGGTTCTCCTTTATACAGAAGTGGCTTTATCTGACTCTGGCAGTACAGAAGGGCTGTACAGAAAGGTTGCAAAACAAGTACTGCAATTAATGAGTAACTGAATGCCCACTGGCACCAACTGGAACAGTGAAATTAAAACTAACCCCCAAATTTTCCTAAAGATTTTTCTAATTGAAAGGTCCCATAAGTAATCAAAGCCATTAACTAATAAAGAAAGAAACAAATGTATTGAAAAGAAAAAAACAAATGTATTGATTTTCTAATTTGATTTTTATGACAGAAGACTTCAGAAAGTTATTGATGTTGTGATAAAAATACAGTAGAAGAGTATAAATACTTCTCTGCATTGGGTTTAGGAATAGTTTTCTTTGGTTTTTTTGACCAAATCATAACAGGAAAACATGTATTTTTCATAGAAATGCTGACATAACTTTACTAATAGCACCTTTAACGGAGATTGTTACAATGTGTATTTACTCAGGTACAGGATTAAATAAGAGATGTGAACTCACCATAGCAACCCCTGCACCACATTGCAGATATGCTGCTTCTAAGATACGGCAAATGTTTCTGAGGAAATACACATGAATATTAGGTAAACATCTATCAATTCCAAATTGTGTTTCAAAAATACTT